AATCAGTTTCTAGATTTGTGCAGATGTTCTTCCCAATAAGTCATTCTAATGGGCAAGTGTTCAGTGTCAGCTTGATGATTCTTAAAATATTGTTGAGCTTCGTAGCATGGGGATTGTGGGTACATCCTAAAATCTCATCATTTTGATGGTCGTGCCTTTTATCCTGAGTGCACAAATGTCAGTTTTTGAAACCTATATTTTAAAATGCAAGTCATTTGTATATTTTAGTCGATACTATTTCAGTTAATGGAGTTGCTGTTGCAGCTGGAACATAGCTGAGTTTTACATTTGCAGAACAATCATATTTTAGTCACTGCTGTACATAATTTATTTAAAGGAATGAAACTATATAATATACAGAAGCACTTTGTTTAATGCATTGATCTTTGAAATCGCATTGGTTAAGTGGAAATTTAATTTATATTTTTATATTAATTTGAACTGTGTAAACAAAATGAACTGCATCAGTAATCACCCATGTTGGAAGACACTTAATACTTATCTAATATCAACTGTCAAAAATAAAATTGTAGACTGAATGAACTAGGATAGTGAATAATAAAATATTTTGTTATAAGGAGGTTGTTTTACTCATTGGTGACTGCTGGAATTTTGAAAGTTTTATCCAATTAGTCCCATCTCCACTTCCACAAATATTTCCTTTTCAAGTATGTATTTGCCTCTCCCAAGTCCTTTGTTCTTCTGAAGGTTCCCCATCATACTTTCAGTCAGCACATTCTAGGCTATCATAGCTCACTATCATAAAAACAAATCATTCTCTTTCTTTTTGTTGAATCGTTTTTCAAGCAGCTTCAAGCTGTGTCTTTCTAGTTACCAACCACCCCTCTCCAGTGGAAACTATGAAAACCTTTCATAATTATGACTACAGCAATTCCCCAAACCTTCAGAACAAGCCTCGCATCTTTAGCTCTCCACATAGCTGTAAACAAAGTTTTATTGCATTTCTATGTATCTAATGTGAGATTATTAAAATAAAGGAGCAGGAGTAGACTGGCCCATTAAATCTGCTCAGCCGTTTGATAAAGTTTATTTCTGGCCAAGAATGCTGAAAACGTAATAAATGAAAAGTAGCTGTTTTGAAAATTTCTCCAGGATATTGCTGGGATTGCAGGATTTATTTGTTTAAAATTGAAAAATGGCTACTGAGTTGTATGAATCATTTCTAAATGTGAATTGTTGCACACTCTTGAGATGTTACAAATGCTATTGTATTGTACATTTAGGCAAGTAAATTGGTTGTTGTGAACTGGCATAGTGAGTGCCCAGAAAGTTTGAATAAGATATATTTTGGATATCATCCATTGTCTGAAGGCCAGTCACCATCACGGAATTTTGTAACTTCAGTCCAATGTCAAGAATTAGAATCAGACCAGAACAATGTCTTACATCAAAGTTTTGTTTAAACTTTAGTTTGGTAATATTTAAATATTGCTTTGTAGATCTTTTAGAAAGCAATTACTTTTCTTCGTGTTGGAAAGGTGCACATTTTCAAAATTCAGTATATTATTCCTCCAAAGCAATGCTACTGGTCTAATTGAAAAGGAGGAATTTTTTTTGCTGTACAGTTATTTAAATAAGTCGGTGATCTTGCCACAACATCACCACCATGCCTTGCAGTGTCTGTAATGCCGATATCATGGAGTTCCTAAACTGTAGTTGCTAAAATATTTGGCAGGCCAGACAGTATTTGTGGAGTAAACTACCAGCATGGACTATTCTTCAACTGCTGTCTAATGAAGAGATATGTGAAAGATTCACTTCTGTTGAGTGAATAGATGAATAATCTGTCCTCAATATTTGCGGCGTTTTCTGTTTCTCAGATCTCTAGAAGGAACGGTTGTATTTCCTTACCATTTTGCAATGTAGCTTACCAGTACCAGCACTTATTATTGAGGTTAGATTCCAGTTGTACTCATTTTTTTTTCCTTTCAAGTCTTGAGAGTGTCCTTGCATATTGCTGTCATTCTATAATTAAAATGAACTGACTATGAACTTGATACAATACTGACTGGACAGTTTCATGTTGTAAATGCATTTTATTGTTTTGCATATCTGGAAATAGCTTAACTGGAATGGGCTGTTGCAACAGTATGCACCTGCCTATCATACTGGGCTGCTGAGTATCATGATGCCATTATCATTAGGAACCGAGATTCAGAGTTACCAAGAGCCAGATGCCAAATGTTCACCTTTGAAAACCAAAACAGGAACAGCTGGGCTGAATGGACAAATTTTCTGTCTGAGATTTTGAGCGTTAAGTGTGAGAAAGAGGTCTAACAGAGAAACAGATTATAACTGGTATGAGCAAAAGGGAAAAGGTTGCTGAGCGTCTGCATTTTATATTGCCTTTGCTACTTATACCCCAGAAAGGGGAAAAGATCGACTTCACAGCAAAAACAGCCAAGGACAGCAAAAAGAGTTTACACAATTTCCAAACAAAAACAACATCGATCCTGCTCAATGGGAAAGATACGAAAACCAGCAAAAGACTACACAGCAGCTTATGAGAGCTACTAACAGAGATTATGAAAGGGAATCTGAAAGGGACATCAAAATCAATAGAAGAAATGTTATAATTACATAAAAGGAAAGCAGGTGGTGGGAGCAATGTTGGTCTTCTAAAGACTGAAAGTAAGAATATTGTCAAAGACTATGATGAAATGGGAGATATGTTGAATAATTCCATCTCGAGTAGAAAGGAAGGATAGGTTGAAGTTGAGAGGAAATGACTAATGGATTGGGAATAGAGACTGTGGCTCAGTGGTTAGCACTGCTGCCTCACAGTGCCAGGGACCTGGGTTTGATTCCAGCCTCAGGCGACTGTCTGTGTGGAGTTTGCACATTCTCCCTGTGTCTGCTTGGGGGTGCTCTGGTTTCCTCCCACAGTCCAGACTAGGTGGATTAGTCATGCTAAATTGCCCGAAGTGTTTAGAGATGTATAGATTAGGTGAGTTACTGGGGATGGGTTTGGGCGGGATTCTCTGAGGGTCAGTGTGGACTTGTTGGGCGAAGGGCCTGTTTCCACACTGTAGGGATTCTATGATCTATGAAATGCATCAAAATTGACGCTTAGCCCATTTCTGGTAAAATTCTGCAAAGTGTCTTGCTGAATCCACACAACTGTAAGTAATACAGTTAGTCTGTGCAAATAAGTGAAGGTCTTTGTTGCACAGATAAATGTGATTGCATCTATAGGCCAGAAAATGTTTAAATGTTATCATCAGCACCACATTCCTGTTAGACTAAAGCTTCTAAGCAGGTAATATTCTTGTAAAGAGAAAGGAGTTGTATTTATATAACAACTTTTAAAACCTTTAATCTGCCCTTATACTTCAAACTCAATGAAGTACATTTGAAAGGTAATCGCTGTTATAAGATGGGGAAATGCAGCAATCAATCTGCACACAACAAGGTCCCACAAACAGTTAGTGACCAATAAATTCTTTAAACTTAACTCTTATGCCTTCTACTGAATATATCTAAATACAACTGTAGACGTGAAAATTTATGAGTTTGTCTTGGCAGACCTCAGGTACAATTTTCTAATTATTCTTGTAGATATTGCACCATCATTAGCACTATCTATTCTGGATCTAGAAGGAAATGCACTTCAGACTGGACCTTGTTCTACACATTAGTGCACAGTTATCAATAGATCATTTGCATGAAAATTAGAGAGTCAAGTGGATTTTTAAAACAGTACATGTCACTATACACCAAGTCAGCATCTTAAGAAGGGAGTATCCAATGCGATTGATATCTGCTAACTTGTCAGAATTGCCAACAATTTGTAATTGTCAACACATGGAAAAGCACGTTTTGAACTCATTGTATCGATCTTTATAAAGTCACAAATTGTGCTCCTATAATGACTCGATTTCAACTTTTGTAGGTGGGCTAAATGACTTCCAATATCCAACAACAGCCACTAATGTTGTTCTCAGTATTATTCAAATATCTGAGGTAAAGGCAAAATTATTCCTCTCGATAATGTTCATAAAATGGTAAAACCACACAACTGGAACTTCTGAAAATGAGGCTGACCGTCTTCATAATTGAAGGACTTTCACCTTTGAGGAAATTAAGATAATACAGGCCACGTTTCACCAGGTGAACTTTCAAGCACAATTTATTGAATTAAATGCAATACATCTCAAAGTGCTTCCTTCTGCAATACTGCACTGGGTTTATAAGAAGGCAATGATACCAACTGTATTAAGAAGAATTCACTTGGTAATGCAATCACACATACAACACAGTCAGTTAAACTAATGATGCTGACACAATTATTTTTACACAATTGGCAATAATATTCTGTTTGCCCCTCATTATGTTGTTTTCTCTTACTCTCTCTCTCTCCACACAATATTATTGTGCATATTCTGAAAACTGAGGCAGAGAATAAATGAAGGTCTAAATCTGAACTCCACACATTAGACGTGAAATATACAGTTGATTTGGCACCACAGAAGAGACAGTAACATAATTAGTAATCTGTACCTCACAGTGGAATAGTAACTCATTTTTTCCCATTCTACTCTGCATTGCAGACTACATTGCAGTCACATTGCTTTCCTAAACTTTGAACATTGATTGTGATTACAGTCCTGTTCATTGATCAACTTGTGATAAAACCAAGAAAGCTATCTCAACACTGTATGATGCCTGCATGATCTTCATCTGATACTTAGCTCTGATTTTACAACAGGTAACCATATCTGACAGTGAAGAGTACAGCTGAGAACTCAATTAGTCTTCATGACACTCAACGTTTGATGTCTTTGCAGTCAACTTGGATTTTCAAAGAATGTTGGTCCTTCTGAAAGTTGTACTTCTGAACATTCTTTATTGTGGGCATTTGAATTTTGTGTTTACATCTTTCTATAATTTCCTATAATTATCCATATCATTTTTTCAACATGTTGTTTCTCTGTCCTGGGATTCCTGAGGACTTTTGAAATAGGCCCAGATCGTAACTTTCATCTTATTGTAATAATAGCTGTATCAGTAGGTTTATTGATTGCCTTTTTGGTGCTTGAGGTTTGACACAAAGCAATCATGCATGCAATGATCATCACACATCCAATACACATCAGGGTTAACTGAACAATACCAAGTGTTGTCATGGGTGTTGTTAGAGAATTTCTGAACATGTTTGCTGTTTCATCATCAAGAGTTCCTGTCTAGGATTAAAAATAAATTCAGAACCTTCTCTATGCATTGCACATTATAGCATCAGCTTTCATCAGTACAGACAGCAAGCAAAATTGCAAATAAGTTCCACTAATTCTACAATTCTTAGAACACCAGAATGTGGATTATTCAGATCTCAAGTCATTCATTTATGTCATGATTGATTTGCAACTTAACTCCTTCAAAGCATACAAACAAAAAAAAGTAGAGATTCTGGAAAATTAGACAGAAAAAGGAACAGTAAAAGATGACAAGATAGGGCTAGGAACAGAAAAAGAAACTTGCAAGTGGAATCAAAGCCAATGTAAAGTAATTTACAACTATATTAGTTAAAGATTGTCAGTTGCCTTGTAAGCTGTTAACTTATGTTATCAATGAAATTAAGCTAATGGCAGAACAAACTGAATATTAGTTTGTATCAATATTCACTGCAGAAGAAGAAAACAACATATTACACAACCAAAGTAAACTGTTATGGAATCAAAGATTGAAACTGAATAAAATTTATGTAAGCAAAATAATAGAAATGAAGAAAATAAAGGCAGTGAAGAGTGACGGATTTCTGGAAACAGATGGTCTCCAGATACATAGGCCTCTACATCTAGAAAATAGAAGAGCTGGGAGATGGGCAGCAGTCTTCTAAGAAGCAGGTAAAGACTTTGAGCAGGCGGTACACCACCTTCAACATGACAGAGCACTGCACCATTAGTTGCAACAAGCAAGACAGGACTTAACTGACCCTCAGTTCCAATAGATGTGAGCCAGATGTGGTGATCACTCATTGATAATTCATCTGCTGCTGTTTGTAAAGCCAGCAGTCCCTGTCTGTTCCCAGAAGTATATAAGGTTTATGCTTGTGTTTTTCTTCACTTTAGTTGTTGCTAAATGAAAGTAAACCTTTTCAACCATTTTGAAGACATTCCAGGATGTGATGGTCCCCCTTTGAATAATTCGAAAATGTCAGGCTACACTGAGCATTGGGAAAGAGTAGCACTCCCTTAGACAGGGTTCTAAGATAGGATTATGATAGGGATGGGTCACCTCTGCAGCTTTGTTATGAAGTAACAATACATTTACAAACATGCACTTGTATTGGGAATGAACTGTCAGCCATGCTATTCCTTTTGGTTCCCCTGCCTCCATGTGCAATGTGAAGGGATATTTCTGGTTGGCAGCATTTGACCTGATGCATACTGACCTTTAAAAATGGTGCTAGTGCTGGGAATCTCAGGAAGTTCCAGCAGTGGCAAACACTTTTGCTTCTGGTGAAAGGGAATATCGGATGAGTAGAGCACCATAGAGGCTTAGTGCATGGTTAATGAGGCAAGTCTTGGAGAATAGCATGGGGAATCATATGAGCAATTCTCTTTGCATGGAACCTGCCACTGAGATGTTTAATATATGTGTATATAATATTGTTGCAAAGTTAAGTAGAGTGCTTGTGGATGGGAAGGCAGGATGTTAGAATTTGGTATTTGTAAAACGTTGATGCTTGTAAAATGTTGGCATTTGTAAAATGCTATGGGGAAAGCAGTGCATGGTCCCTTTAAAAGACAATGTGCTTTTTCTGTGCTTAGAGATTTGAAAAAATGTCTGAGTTTGCAGGTGCACAGAGTACCTGAAATTGAAATGTTTGTAGCAAAGACTGTATGGTTAGCAATCCAGGCAGCAGTTTTGTTTTGTTAGCAAGGCAACCAGTTTGAATATCAGCCAATTAATTTAAACCAGGCACTGAGAGACTAAAAACCAATTAAATTTACATCTGATGGTTTTGACAACCTAGGACCAATCCTATTGTAAGAAGTTAATAAGTCATTAAAGGTGTAAAAGAAGGGGCCATTTGAAAACTGGCGTGAGAGCAAATGCCAACTGATAGAGTTAACAATCATTAGTTCTAACAAGAAAATCACTGGCTCTCACAGAATTCTCTAAGCTCTCAGAGTAACCATCATCTAACTGAAGGTACAGCAGCACTCTTAGCTAATATTCCTGATATAAGAATTCAACAGAAAAAGGCGTTACTGCCTGAAGATCAGCGGAGAAGGCACAGAACATTCTGGAAGACATACCTTGGCTTTGAGAGACTGAGTTTTGATTTTTTTTATTATTTTGGTTTATATAAGAGGGACTTGTATTTATTGGAACAGCATACCATTAGCATTTTGTTTTATTCAGGAATAGTGCATAGTTAAGGGGAAATTGTTCAGTTTGTTAACAGTTCAGTTAATCTATTCATTGTAGAGTTAGATAAATAAATTGTTACTTGTTGATTATAGAGTGAGTGAAAGGAGTTTGTTTCATTTAACCACACCTTTATAACAGGTTGATGGTGAGAGGCAGGTTATACCATTTTTCATACTCCTTTTAACAGATTTTAGTTCCAGGCGAGCATCTCTGGGTGTTTCGGTATTAGTTCTCAAAGTGGGGTCAACCTCTGCTTTGGATATGATTCCAAATTGAATTGTTAATGCTAATAGCGTCAAGACATCAAGGGATGGCAATAAATGTTATGTCATCACAGGATCAAAAATACATATATCCATCAAATTATTTAATTGATTATTTTCTTCTTCTAAGTTATTCCTTTTTTAGTTAATTTCCCACCATCTTTATTAGTTATTCTTCCCATAACTACATTTGTAGTGATGTATTTGTCCTGCATTCATGAGTCTAAATCCTTCCACTTGCTTACATTATTTACTATTTTGTGGTATACCCTCACACTACAATGCATTCTGTTTTCAAAGACTTTTTTTTGAAATTATATAAAATTGAATCCACAATCAGATCAGTCGTGATTTTATTGAATGACAGAGAAGGCCAGAGGGTTTGAATGGCTGCACTTAATTCATGTGTTTGCATTTTGGTATGTTGTAAATAAACTTGCTCATAGTACTGATTCTAGGTATCACTAAGAATGGAAAATACAATAACATCAACATTTATGTTTGCTTTTTTAGCAGAACTGATGTTTATGAATGTAAAGCTGCAGTTTGAAACATCCCCTTACCTCATTGAGCCAAACAAGTGGAAAATATGTTGGCTTCTTAATATTCTTTAATATGCTACAAAGAAAAAGATGCAACATCCATTTTCAGTAACTATGAGCTTGTCACTTGACTGAACAGTTTCTAATACAAATCATAATTTTTGCAGTTTGTCTGTGAAATGGTGCTTTATTTTATATATCTCCAATACTATGCTGGTCAACTTACCGTCTCTACTCTTCATAATCTTCAGTTCCCCAAAACTCTGTTCTATGTATCTCATCCTTTAAATGGTTGCATTTGCCCCATGTTCACAGACCTATGTTGGTTATCAATGCTATAAAGTTTCAAATTTATCATCTTGTATTTAGATTACTCAACTCCCGCCTACTTCCTTTGCAAACTCCTTCAGCTTTACAACACCCTGCCCAAACTTGCCTTTCCCCTCACTCTGACCCTTTGTAGACTCTTCATCCTTATTCCCACCATTGACTCTGTCAAACCCCCACACTGGAGTTCTGCCCACCTCTCCCTACTCCTTAAAGCTGTTCTAAATTATGAAAAAAAAACAAGCTTTTGCATGATATTCCTTTCCTTGGCTTCTTATTTTAATTTCTGCCTCCATGTAGCACCTTACGATGTAATGTGAATACAGTATGAACGCTGAATGATTGGAATTGCTAGTATTTGCCTGATTTATTTTTGCCATAAAGTTCTGGCTGTAACTTTAATATCTTCTTCACCATAGTAATTTATCGTCTAAATGCATTTCAATACTACTATTATTTGGTATAATTAGTTGGATATGTTTTGATAATATACACAAAAAATCAAACATACCCAATTTTCTTTGATGGTTTAAACATTAAGTTGATTTGTATTCGTTTAGCAACTCTCAAAGTAAATCCAGTGATCTGCAAGGAGGAAGAAAGTGTGAAGATATAATTCAGAGAAAAAAAATTATAAAATATTAAAGATTATATAGTGTGCATTAGATAAATAGATAATTTAACCCATCCAGGGAGTGCATGATCCTGAACAGTATGTCTCAGTGTGAAATCTGCATTATACTGTTACAATTTTCAAATCCCATTAGTTGCTCTCTGAGGTTCTACTCTTCATTGGTCAAGTTTCCTGACTGCTGGAAGATCAAGCTCACGCGCATCAAATGTAAAACGGTGGCCATGTTTGAGAAACAAGAAATGGCCCTATCTGTGTGTCATGGCCCTTCTCCCAAACCACGTTAGTTAAAAAAAAGAAGGAGGTGGGAGTTGGAAGTTCGATTTCATAGTTTAGAATTTTCAACTCCCCAATCCCGCTACGTTTCCACACTGTGGGTTGCTAAGAATTACTCCCATTTCCCCTATCCCATATGAAACCACTTCATAAGCTTCACAAATGCTGTAAATTCTTGATCACTTAAGCAAAACTCTGCTTATCCTAGAGATCCATAGCTCCTGTAGGAAAATTACATGCCTCAGGAGATTCATTTTGGAAAGGCAAATTACACCTAATTACAAAATTACAACTGCACATACCAAAACCAATATTTCATCAATCACAGCCTATATACTGTATGTCTGAGGCTACCATGAAGGACTCTCCTTCTTAGCCTCTCCCCTTGCCTGAGGCAGGTCAACCTCAGGTTAAAGTGCCACCAGTTACCTCTCTGATGAGAGAGCAGCCCTATGGTCTGGGAAGATTACGGCAACTTTTACTCGGAAAAATATTAGTAAAGTCCTAAACAGATGATATTTTTGCAATGTTTTCGTGACAGCTTTATTTAGCCCTCAATACTAGAAGCAGGATGTGGGATAAATTTACCGGCGGTGAAAATATCAGAAGAGGAAAATAGCTGAGCTGTGATATTCTTACAGTCATTTTCCAACTCATTAATTATTTCTTGAGAGAACACAATTACTCACTGTTTTCGCTGGAAATAGGTGAAAATGCATTCAAACAATGATGAAGGAAGTAAAATGTTTTTAAAAACTAAAATAATCACTTACAGGTTCCACATCCAGATAGGTTTGGTGTTCTTCCTTATTGGGATTTAGCCCATCAATCGCGTTCACAATTTCATCACTTGCATATAAAAAGTGAGGGAGTGAAATATAAATAGGTTTGCCTGAAATTGAAACATACTATTATAATGCAGTTGCGAGATACAGTACGATGAATGGAGTATCTCAGGAGATAGAATTTAGGTCACATTATAACAACTTTGTACATCAACTAATTTTGAAGAAGGAAACTAATAATCAATGAAAGTTAGGCACTGGTCCATCAGAAAAATAAATTAACTGCATTTTGAAAAGACACAACAAAAGATCAGAAAAAGCATAAAAATGAGAATGGCCATTCAGCCCATCCAAACCATTGTTTTTCCAAACCAAGTGCAATCTGTTTTGATGTGAATTCTTTCCTAATCAAATCCCTCACCCATCTCATTTTAGGGCACAGTTTTGACTGTCTCAATGCCATTTTTGCCATCCTTTCCTCACCCGGTCCCTCTCTTCCTCGATATCTCTATCTCAATTTCTGGGGACAGGCTTTCAATGAATACCTACTCCAAGTCCAGTAGCTTCCTTGCCTATTATGACTACACTTCCTCCCACCCTGCTTCCTAGTAAGACTATGTTCCATTCTCCCAGTTTCTCTGCTTTTATCACATCTGTTTCCAAGGTGTCACCCTACTCAGCTGTATTTCTGATATGTATAGTTTATTATAGACTATCCGCATTGTCCTTTCCTCCCCTTGACCACGACACACAGCACACACCACCTCCACCACGCATTTTACCCTCTGCTTGTCTTTGTCCTTGCTAAAAATAATATGTTAGATCTATAATGTGTTCCAGTCAGGACAAAGTGTCATCAACCGGAAATATTATCTCTGTTTCTGCCTCTGTAGATGCAGCCTGACCACTGTTGACAATCTATATATTTCTGTTTTCCAGCATCCATAATAATTTGCTTTTGTCTTATTTAATGTACCTTGTCTATTTAACACTACAACCTACATCTCCAACCATACCTGGCTTCCTTTCCTTGACATTTTGTTTTTGTTGCCCAAACAGCTCAGGAACCATCTCATTATATGTAGAACTTGATTCTTTCTTTCTGTTCACTCAGCAGGTCCTACTACTGCTCACAGAAACAGAACTGTGCATTGAACTGAAATGCGGATCTCAAATAATCAAAGTTTGCAGACATTTTGATCACGTGAACTTCCATTTATGGAGTCAGTAAAGCCTTAAGCTAATCCAACTATAAGAAATACTATTGAACCATTTATTTCTCAGATTCGACTTTCTTAGCTCAGTATTCACTAGCAGACCTGCTCAAAAGACAACCTGTTAATCTTTGGGAATAATTGGAAAAATATCTTTAATATGTGGTACATGGCAGGTAGCTAACATGTAGTGTGGCAGTTTCATTGTTTGACCTAGGAATTCAAAATAGAACAGAGGACTACATCTGGTACAATTAGTCACTATTGCAGTCATTTTGTCACAAGTCAACATGACAAGTGTTTGTAATCTTGTTTTAGGAGTATTTACAAGTGGATTGTTGTGCTACATTTCCTTTTTGTTAAATTATTTGTTATCTTTTCTAGGACCTGTTTAAGCTTTTGAAGATTATGTTTTAAAGCAGAAGCCTAGACAACCGTCCTACAGTTTGTCCCTTCAGAAGTTCCACTTGGCTGAGCTTAGCAGTCACTAATCGATGGTTTTGAACGTAAACTAGATCCGTACCATTTCTTAGCTAAGCAGGTGCTGATGTTGAAATGAGGTTAAGTGGAAGTCATTACTCAAAAGCAGTTTTTTTTAAATTAACTGATTCCACTATATCCATGTTTGAAGGAAAGACTTTATGAAGTAATGAAATTCATTGTAAAATCCCCTTGATTTTGGATGGCAAAATTCCAACCGGAAAGCCTCATGAGAAAAGAAAATAAACTAAGTTAATGTTTCAGATTTAGATTGTTTTCAAACAGATTTGCTACAGCCTAGCAGACAATTCACTAGTATTGTTTTCACACATTCATAGCCTGCAGTACTTACCCTCTTTGCAAACACTAATACCAAGGATTCCTCCAAAGGTGCAATTTTCTGAAACGCTCATATCTTTGCAGTAACAGTGATTGTCAGGATTGTCAACAGAAGATCCAAGAGCTAGAGGAGGAACAACAAAACGACGAACAGGAATGCTCTTCAGAATTATCTTTTGTTCATATTCTGCAAAGATAGATCTGTGTGGAGAATCAATAAAAGTGAGTATGCTTTGTTTATCCATTGCAACTAATGACTCAGATTGTGCTCTAGGCAGTTGCAAACTCATTTCTTTCTAGGTGCTGATAACAGTGACTTAAATCTGCTGTTGGCCTTTCAATACATATCTAAGCATTACAGGTGCACCCACAATGTACGCTAGGTGTACATGAGCAGCCAGTGGAGCTTCTTTAATTACATAGTCTGAATATATGGTGGAGCAAGGGGTATAATTCTAACCTGGATAAGCATGTGAGTTTGGGTGTGAGAGTTGGCAGGTTTAAAAGCAACAAGCAAGTGAGAATCTAACTATTGCATCTTAGAGTCAAATGCGTTGTCTTCAGTGAATCCCCAATATCAATATCCATTATCCAGAAACTGAACTGAATGAGCCATATAGAGACAGTGGCTACAACAGCAGGTTGGAAGCTAGGAAACCTGCAGTGAGTAACTCAACTCCTCACTCCCAAAACCTTCTCCAGCATCAACATAGCACAACTCAGAAGTTGCAATCAAATACTTTGCACTTGCTTGGATGTGTGCAGCTCCAACAACACTCAAGATCATCATTCAGATAATCTGGTCTTTACCGATTTTGATTGAGGAATAAATGTCGAAGGTGAGCACTAACCTACTCTGTTTCAAAACATTGCCATAGAATTGTATCAATGTTCATAAAAACCCTTTGCCTCAAAGTTGCTTTTAATCCCATAATTACCTCCCCACATCTCATTTTATATTTTATATAAGAGTATATAATTAGCTGTACATTTGGAGTGACAAACTGAGCCAGTCCATCATTTGAATGTAAAATAGGATCTTTTGTATTATATATCTCCAACTTAAAGTACAGTCATTACATTGTGCTTTTTTTCTTGGATTCCCTCATCTCTTTATTTGTTTTATTCACCTCATTTTGTTTTATGCAGTTATTCTCTGCTTCCTCCTGACGACTAACAAGGTTTGATTTAATTAAAGTGACTGTTCCTTCCTCAAATTCTTCAATGAACTTTGTCTTTTGTAATAACCAACATCATCGATCCAAAACTGATTTATCTGGGATAGTAGGAACTGCAGATGCTGCAGGCCCGAAACGTCAGCCTTCCTGTTCCTCTGATGCTGCTTGGCCTGCTGTGTTCATCCAGCTCTACACCTTGTTATCTCTGATTTATCTGGGAACGAGTCAGCTTTGACAACCACTGGTTGACTTGTCACTTATTTGTTTGTAAAGCAAGCTTAGGTCCAGTTTCCTGAGAGTGGCACTCAAATACAACTGATTCTGATGACAGAAATTTTGCAGCTGCCGTTTGAGGAATTCAGCCCTTGATTTATATAAGACAGTGCCTTAGTGCCTTGAGTAAAACGTTTAAATTTAACACCACATGATGTGGCCAGTTACAACACTTCCCTTTGAAGTAGTTAAACATGTACTCATGGACAATGCCATTAATGTACAAGAGTTCCAGAGAACCTCCAATGTATATGCTTTATGTATATTCTCATCGGTACATTACCTGCAAATGTCAGACGAGAAAAAATATAATTTCTCCTTATCATGAACAAATGGTGGAAATGAGCTTGCATCTGTCAAAGAAAAAGTCTTTTTTATGAAAATTGGCAGTCAATGAGCACATAGTAACATATTTTATTATTTGTAGGCGTCATGACATTGACAATTTGTAGATAACATGAATATTGAATGTGATTTTCTATACTCAAGCACTCACAGACAGACAATGGATCTTAATTTCTCACTGATCCTGCTATCTGACCATCCTTGAAAATCAGACATATATGATGATGATGGTATATGTTAGTTTGTTATGAGAAACAGAACTGCAAACCCATCTACAACCAATAGAATAGGCCCCTTTGATTCTAACTGTGGTAGGATGTTAGTGATCCATATTGCTGGATTGACATTTTCTAGTCTTCACATTCTTTTAATTCCTGACCATTAACAAGATGGATGGAACTGAGCAGCTCAAAGATGAGATATCTTGACCGATATTTCTTCAGGTTTTCAATACTGTCTTTTTGATACAGTTTGGAAAATGATAATTTAGACAATCGCTTTACCTGTGCCATTGATCATATCACAGAATGAATCATTCCAGAAAGTCAGTTTTCTAAAAAAAAGGATAATTATGATTCAGGTTGCAGTAAAATCAAAATTTTAAATTGGTTAGATAAAAGATAGTAAAACATTCCAAAACATGCTGCTGTAAATTACAATAAAGCTGCTTATCAATGGTAAGGTGGTGAGTTTCATATGTCCATTTTGTAACAGGTAAACTCTGATTAAATGTGCACTATGACCACTTAATCTAGACTATAAATCCACAATCTAGGCATGTATGCATCTTGCACTCATCTATAAAACTCAGGTTGGACAATATAATAACTTTGTGTATTAGTTGTTTTTTGGTCCTTTGATTCAGCAAAATGTAGTGTGTTATGTAGTGTAGTAAAAAATATTCAAACTGTTCAATCTGCTTTTTCCTAACTACATAAGGATCTAAATGATCCACACAATGTAATTTAAAATTCAGTTTTGACAGATGCAGATATCTTGTTATAACTCTGTAAACAAAAGTCAGAAATGATTTGGTGTGTAACTCAGGCCTTTGTTATGGTAAAAATGGTGGATACACCCAAAGTGGACACAGCATTTACTATTGTTGCAAAGGCAGAAATGGGCACATGTCACATTTCACATTTGTACATTTCACAGAGGCAGGTGCCAATAGAGCTCAGCAGCTGCCTCCACTCCTGTTTGATTCTAGTGACTAAGATGCCTGAAACATGAAGTGCACAGATTTGTGCCCTGATGAAAAGTCACTGGACTTGAAACATTAATTCAGTTTTCTCTTGACAGATGTTGCTAGATCTGCTTAGTTTCTCCAGCCTTTTCTGTTTTTGCACAGAACAGACCTGGTAAGAGCAGGTCAGGACTCAGTGGAATTGGTTGGATAGCCAGGGAATCCATTTGGACAGGTAAGATATTCCTTTGCATAGGGTCCTGGGACACGTTTGGAGCAATCAGAGGTCCTTTGAGGAATTAAGGTATGCTTTTGCAGTGGGAGGTGCCTTTGTGTGTAAATAGTGCATAAACTCATTAACTGTGAGCTCATTGGAATTGTCTACCAACCTGTCAGCTCAGAGAAGGTTCATTCAACAGATACCTGAGATGAGGAGTTATCTTATGCATACAGGTTGGGCCTGTGTCCACTGGAGTTTAGAAAAGTGATTTTATTGAAAGATAAAAGATCTTGAGGGGACTTAGCAGGTTGTGTGCTGAAGAATGTTTAATCTGATGGGAGAAACTAAAACTGGGGGACATGGATCAGAAGGAATTGGCCTTGTATTTAAGAGTGAGATGAGGACAAATATTTCCTTTAAAAGATCATGAGGGTTTTAACTCTCTCCCACCGCCCCCCCACCCCATACCCCGAGAGCGATAGTAGCATTGTTTTTCAATATATTTTAAACAAAGGTAAATTTGTGATGACCAAGGGAGTAAAAGGATATTGGGGCAGGTAGGAAGGTGGGGTTGAGGTTGCATTTAGATCAGCCATAATCTTATTATGGTTCAAGGAGCCAAATGGACTGTTTCTACTACTAACTCACATGTTCACAACTGTCAAAGGGAACTATCGAAAGGAATTTTCAAAAAGGACTTATCAAAGAGAAATGTCAATATCACTTGTTCAAAGTAGCTGTCAAGGCAGTTAAAAATCCTAAATCTTTGAAAGAAATGCCTGGAGTGTTTAAAAAAATTGTTTTTTTTTCACTCTGCCGATTGATACATACGTGATGGGTTTTCATCGCTGGTTAGTGTCATATGACTGAGTTCACAATCGTTCACTATCAAAGAGGAGTGCCTGCTTTTTCAGTTTTACTGTTAGCTCGGAGACATTATTCAGTTTTTGAAGTATGACTATAAATTTCAATGTTGATTATTATAGTGATTATGCACTTGAGTTAAATGTTTATTGTAAACATGTAGTTGAAGTTGAAGAATGTAAGTGTAGTAACTGGGTTATCTTTAATCTTCAGGAGTGTATCATTCAATAGCATGAAGTCTATATACAATGTGTATTACATATGGAGAACTTAATTTTATAGGACTTTATTTAATTTCATCTTGGCATTGGTCCTGAGGGTCTGGGTGAGTTGGTATTTTAAGCACATAGAAAATGGGTGATTGGTAGGAAGCAGAAATTAGATATGGGCTATAAAGGGCCAAGGATGCTGGGTACAAGGGCATAGTTTAGCATGGGAGCTATAAAGGGACATGTGGGGTTAGGTATTAGGCATAGATTGACATGGATGGTATAAAGGCACATTGAGGCAGAGATTGACACAGACAGTTTGAGAGGTCATGGAGAGTGGGTACATGGCATAGGTGGCATAGGGAATGTATGAGGAGATTGAGGGGGTGTGAGGGATGAAGGCTGGAAAGCTGTTTGTTGTTTTAACCCTTTTCCTCTCTGAAACTTCCACAGAGTGCCAGTATATAGAAACAGGTCTTGCACCAGCCTCTGCAGGTGGCACTCTCCACTGTCATTCCACGCTTCTCAAACCAGTTCCTGGCAAACCTCACAATGATGGAATAAAAATCCCAACTTCTGGGTCATTTTTTCCTAGGTTGGGTTTGCAAAACTGGGAAATATCCCCAATGTGACCTGGAAGTGAAAATCTAGGCACTAGTTTTAGTGAGTACCATGTTTTAACATTTAAATTTGCACAATAAAAATCATAGAAGGATAGAGTACCTATTGTTACAAACTGTATATTTTTGTAAAACACTTTTTGGAAATGTTGCATTTTGTCACACATGCCTAGAAGCCATTAAAATACAACTAATTTTCAAATGTGTTCTGAAAATACATGAAAAGATTAATCATTTTACTCTTACTTCTTGTACATCCAGCGGTCAATGATTGCAACTTTGCTAATGTCATCTTTTCCTGTGTACACGTTATAAATTCCATCCGATGTTCCATTGTACTAGAGGGATAGCCAAGTCCAAGATATTATCCTTATTGCATCATAATAAATTACAGCAATAATCCAAGAATTACAATCAACTGTCAGGGAAAAACAACTTAAAACCAAACAACAAGTGGACCTGATTTTTCAAAGGCTTGTCAGCCATTTTCTGATAATGTCTGAACTGTTTCAGAACTTTCCTCAGAAGCATAGGAAACAGGAGCAGGACCGGGTTGTATGGCTTCTCAAGTCTGCTCTGCCATTCAACTAGACCATGACTGATCTTCCCTCTTGATATCATTTGCCCCATATTTTCACCATATTGCTTGACAGCTTTAGTCAATCTCCATCTTGACTATACACTAGGACTGAGCCTGTATAGCCCTCTTGGGTAAGGAATTCTAAATGTTCACTATTTTTGAGTAAAAAAAAATCTGAATTGCCTATCCCTTATGTGACTGGGCCCCTAGGTTCATGAACACCCCAGAACCAGGGGAAATGTTCTTCCTGCATTGACCCTAGTGAGTCCTATAAGAACTCCGTATGTTATTTGTGTTCATAACCCAGAAATTCGGGGCATCAAGAACATTTCCTGACCTATTCTTATTGCTTGATATAGTATCTAATGATTATTGTTCTGTACTTGAGTGTGTTGACCTGTTCATTGATCTATATAATTGTGCTTGATTGCTTAAGCCTGTGGGTGCAACTGTGACTGAATCAACAACACAGTGTCCCTGGAAAGTCCCGGAGATTCCTTCGAAGACTCCATGTGTGAAAACCTCCACAAGTTCTAAGATGTTTTCAAAGTTCTCAAAATAAATGGTTTAGATTTAAAACCAGATCCATGTCTGCCTTGCTCTGCAATAAATCTGCTAAATAAGATGTACAGCAACTGAGCAAATACACAAATGGTGAAAATACACAACATGTATGTAGTGGTGGGCTGGGAGGGCCAACATAATATGAGAAATATAAGGAGCAATACATTATGCCGGGGCCCCTTGAACCTGCTCCACCATCCAATACAACGCCTCACCTCCAATTTCCTGCCCAACTTCCCATATACCCTGTTTCCTTAAGAGACTAGAAATCTATCCATCTCAGTCTTATGTATTATTACAAAGAAACATCCATGACCCATCACAACCCTTTAGGATACAGAATTTCAAAGTTTCTCAATTTTGAGTGAAGAGAAGGATGCAATGGCCAAGTAGTATTATTGCTGGGCTGTTAATCCAGTGATCCAGGTAATATTCTAGGGACCTGGGTTTGAATCTTGCCAGATGGTGTTATTTGGATTAAATGAAAATCTGGAACTAGGGATCTAATGATGACCATGAATCTATTGTCAATTGTCAGGAAAAAGCCCATCTGATTCACTAATGTCCTTGCCTGGTCTGGACTACGTGTGACAATAGGCTCTTAAGTGCCCCATGGGCAATTAGTGATGGGCAATACATTCTGGACTAGCCAATGATACCTTCATCCTGTGAATGAATAAATAAAAAGATTTTTCCACATCGCATTGCCAAATGATTGACCCGTTAACCTGAGACTATGCCCTTGTATTCTACATTTCACAGTCAGGGGAAACAAACTCTCTGTGTCTATCTTGTCAAATTCCTTCAGAATTTTCAGTTTCAGTGGGATCATAAACCATAGTAAGTATAGGCCCAGTTCACTCAGCCTCTGATCATAGGGTACCATTCTCATCCCAGAATCTAATCTGTGAATCTTTGCTGTATTGCCTCAAAAGCAAGTTTATCCTTTCTTAAGTATGGAAGCCAAAATAAATATAGTATTCCAGTTGTGGTTTTACCAAAATCCTACACAATTTGAACAAGGTTTCCTCATTCTGTATTCTAAACCCTTGGAATAATGACCGACACTCATTTGTCTACCTAATAACTTGCTAACTTTCTGTGCTGTTTGTACAAGTCCAACAAGTTTCTTTTAACATTAACATTTAAAAATGTAACAAGCTTTGAAAAAAAAACTGTATTTTCATCCCTGCTACCAAAGTGTATAACTTCACATTTCCTCACAGTGAACTCCATCTGTAAGTACTTTGTTGTCCTTATCGCTTTGTAGCCTTTTTGTATCATCACAGCTTGCATTCCCATCCGGTTTTGTATTGACAGCAAACTTAGACATATTCCTCTCATTCTCTGTATCTAGATATTTTCCAACCAACCCATTCAGAGATTTTATTATACACCTCTGGAACAGTTGGGACTTGAACCCAATCCTTGTGGCTCAGAGATAGGGACACTACTACCATGCACAAAAGCCCTGGTGTCAATGTCTAAGTCTTCACTCCAGATTTTAAATAGCAGAAGACCCAGTGCTGACTCTAGCAGCATTTCACTAATTACAGCTTGTCAACTTGAAGATGTACCATTTGACCCTATTCTATTCTTTGTTTCTGTTACCAAACCCTATCTATAATATATTACCCCCAACTCCATCAGGCCTTACTTTCTGTTCAAACCAAATGATTCGTAATCAAACAAAAGTGTCACAACTGCATTAGGCAAAGCAGAAACCTTAATAATAAATAAACTTCATTACAAGAAAATAAACTTTATTTTCAGCTAATTTTGCTGGCTTCATTACAGCAGTAGGTTTTACAGTGATTTTCACCCACCTTTTCCATTTGTTCTCTTCTAACAACACTTCCATTTTGTGCCCCATCCATTGAGTTTGATGAGAATCAAAATAAGGTAGAAAAATACTTGCATATTGTCAAAGTAATGTTAGATAAACGTTCTGCGTGTTTCTCGGCAGGTGAGCTTTGCCTGTCTAGACTGTTTCATGTGATTTTCAGAATAGTGTTTAAAATTAGTGAAAAAATAATTTTCATGACATGGTGATTTTCTGAATTTTCAGCAACTCAGGCTACATCACTGAGAACATCAAAACTTAAAGCTAACACTTCAATACTTACTGGGTAAAATATACCAGTAATCGTGTCTTTGTAATTTGCCAGTTTCAGTATTGGATCTTCATATCCCCAGAGTAATTCACCCACTGTTCTATTCTGGAACAAAGAGGCCTTTGCCAGTTTCAAGAAAAGATTGACAAAACCATGACTTTCAACAGGAAGTAAAGATGGTAAGGCCTGTGAAAAATAGAAATATTTCAGTACTCAGCAAGTCCAATACATGGAGTTGATATCATACCTTTGGTTCTATTTACTTGCATCCATCAAAGACTAAGAAATGCTTTAGACAGAAAGAAGGAAACTATCTGATATTTGTCACCCACTAGCTGTCTTCTGATATAATTTGTAAATGTTTCCATGTCACAGGAAGTTTTTGTCATCAATTGACAAGAGAAGCATTTCCTCTATTATTTCTGGAGTCTGACTCTCATCTTTGTCATGAAGTTGAAAGTTGATGAGACTACTTGTCTAGCATGCCCATGATCTTCTCACACAACAAGCCCAGCAGCTCACCCTTTCACACACCTGTCAACTATTTGTACAATTTTGTTACTTTCTGAGTTTAAAAAAAAACTTGTCTATCCTTCCTGTTCTTATTTTCATCACTTAGATTTTAAGAATTTGTTCGGAACAATTACATCAATTCCTAATGTCACAGAGATAGACCTTAACCCTAGAACAATTATGGACATAATTAACCTTAATTTCAATAGATTTTTTCAATAAAATAGGATTACAACTGCCATACAAATGGCCATGGATTTAAATTCAGTGAGTGCCTGGAGATTCACCCATTGGAATGACATACCTTCAAGTGTCAAAGAAGCTTCAAAGTCAGAAATGAATTATAAATCAAACAGTAACCTCTTTCAGTATCTCAGACTATGAAAATTATAATTTAAAGAATGACGAAATTGGGCAAGAAACACATTTGCATTTTTTCCTTTCAACAGGGACAAGTTAAAACTGAGCTTCAAACTGCTTGTTACGTGTTAGTGGTCTATCATTCCAGTATGTAGACAAACATTCAGTGAAGGTCACAGCTTTGAGAATAGCCTCTAAATACCCTTGCAACACAAGCAAAGAAAGGGAAGAGATACCTTCCCTCTCCATGCTGGGAGCTAATTAGCCACACTAAGCCAGTCAACAGGAAACAGGACAAAAGAATTTCAATGAAACTTACAACCCAAGAATCCTGAAATCAATTGCTCAAATGTCAAAGTTCCATTATCTACTCATCACAAGTGACCCAGAAACTGCATTGTGTATCCTTTTATTTTTGGAATTAGTTATGATTTCTTCTCACTTTAGTAACTAAGAAACTCACTCTTCTATTTACTCAAGTAAGACTGATTAAATTGACTTCTTTTAAAACATAAACTCATTTGGTGTGGGAGAAAATTATTCACGAAGGAGGGGATTCTTTATAAATTAACCTTGGTGCGACCAATTGAAGGAGAGGGTAAATTTAAATAAACAGGAGCCAGTTCATTCATGTTCAAACAGGAGCTTGAGTATTTATGGTATTCTGACTGGAACTCTAATAATTTGGAGAAGCATGCCTGCGAATTGGTCATAACACTAGACAAGTATTGAAAATTTTAAGAGATCATCTTATTTTTATCTTTTTGAAGCAAGGGGTAATTTTGACTTCAGCATCAAGTGTAAAGCAGACAATATCAATTCAACTACCTTGCCATACCTTTCTCACAATATTCATTTCTACTGATTTTCTTCAATTCAATTCTAAGTGACAAAATCAGAAGCTTGAGGTTATTTTTGCTGTTCCAGTTGCCTACCATTTCAACATACCACCATGCTCCTGGCCAACATCTCTGTCTCAGGCTTGCTGCAGTGCTCCAGCGAAGCTCAGCGCAAGCTGGAAAAACAATTCCTCATTTACCACTTGGGAACCTTGCAGCCTTCTGGACTCAATATCGAGTTCAATAATTTTAGGAAACATTTTCTCTCATCTCGTTACCCCAAACCCCACACAACAAGGCCTTCACATCACATGGGCTGCTACTACAAATAACTCATTGTCAGCTACTAACAGTCCCCATTAACAACTATTCATTCTCCCAGGCTGACCTTTACTCACTTATTTGTCTGCCTAACTGTTCTACCCTCTCTTGACTCCATCTCTTTCCGTCTCCCCCATCCTTCTCTAGCATATATATCAACTTTTTCCTCACTACAATCAGTTCTGAAGAAGGGTCTCTGGACCCAAAAGATTAACTCTCTTTCTCTTCACAGGTGTTGAGTACTTCCAGCAATTTCTGATTTTGTTTCTGATTTCCAGTATCCATAGTTCTTTAATTTTTCAATTTTCTGTGACATGAATGAAAATGAGAAGAGGGGAAAATACTTAATTGGGCATTGAATCCATCAATTTTACACTAACATCTAAAAGTCAACATTACCACTTATAACTTCCTTAATGATTTAAATTCCAGAAACCTGCAATCATCATTGATGATCGCTTTTATTTCCATTCAAGGATAAGAATAATTTTGCTATGAATCTGAGATCAGAAATACACAAGATTCTCATCAGAGATAATAGGAACTGCAGATGCTGGAGAATCCGAGACAACAAGGTGCAGGGCTGGATGAACACAGCAGGCCAAGCAGCATCATAGGAGCAGAAAGGCTGACATTTCGGGCCTAGACCCTTCATCAGAAAAGGGGGAGGGGAAGGGGGTTCTGAAATAAATAGGGAGAGAGTGGGAGGCGGATAGAAGATGGATAGAGGAGAGGATAGGTGGAGAGGAAACAGACAGGTCAAAGAGGCAGGGATGGAGCCAGTAAAGGTGAGTGTAGGTAGGGAGTTAGGGAGGGGATAGGTCAGTCCAGGGAGGACGGACAGGTCAAGGGGGCGGGATGAGGTTAGTAGGTAGGAGATGGGGGTGTGGCTTGAGGTGGGAGGAGGGGATAGGTGGGAGGAAGAACAGGTTAGGGAGGCGGGGACGAGCTGGACTGGTTTTGGGATGCGGTAGGGGGAGGGGAGATTTTGAAGCTTGTGAAATCCACATTGATACCATTGGGCTGCAGGGTTCCCAACCACATTTGTTTACTTGTTGACCCCTGAGCTCAGACTTAAATTGGTTCCTAATCATTCAATGTTTTGATTTCAAATTATCTATCCTTGTTTTCAAGAGCTTTCCTGCTGTACCTCTATCATCTCCCTCAGCTCCGCTACTAGATATCTGTATTTCTTCAAATCTGACATTGTATGCATTTCCAATTTAACTGATGGATGTAGCTTCAATGGGCCACGCTCCAAGCTCTGGAATTCTAGTCCTACATCTCTCCACCTCTCTCGTTTGCTTTCCTCCTTTGAGACACTCTTTAAAATTTGCCCTTTAAACCAAACTTTTGGATATCTGAGTTAATAGCTCATCATGTGATGTGGTGCCATACTTTGATTTATAATATTCGTATGAAGCAGAGGACAATTTAATTGTGTTAAAATATAAATGCAATCACAAGTTATTGTTGTTGTCTCATTATTATCTCTTAAAACGTAATAAAAACACAGCTCCACATGGATCTCAAACTTTGTATTGCTCTAATAGTTGCATACTACAAATTGCAAATCAAATATATTTCTTTCAGTATTTTAAGATACAATCAGCTCTTAATACTATGTAACTAACATGGGAACTAACAAAGAGAAAATAACATGAACATCATTCTATGTTTAAACTGCTGGGTGATTTATCAAATGTGTGGCATTGTAGCAAAAACAAGATATACAAAGTTTGAAAAGTTAATGCATCAGATTTTCAATATTTAAATTTAGTGATATAAGATTTCAGTCTATTCTAAATCTTTATGCCATTTCCTTACTTATCCACATTACAGAAATTTTCTCTATCTTCAGTCGAGGTTTTCAAATCGACAAAATGCCTGAACTGTTTAGTACATACAAATGTCACAATGGCCACAGATTAAGCAAAGGTCAGTGCTAGTGCTTTGTCACATAAATTTATTCTGTCCTTTTTGATTGATGGATTTGAATAAGTATTTTCAAAAGGTTGCTTACTGCAGCAGCAAGGTTGAGGGCTGTGATTCTGTCCACTTCTGAGCCAGCAGACATGTTAGGCTCAAATACTGCTGAAAAAGGCTGTTGGTATGATATTGTGTAATTATCATTTACAGTAATGTTGCCCTTTGGGAGTTGCCGTACCCTGGAAATAGAAATTTTTAAAACATTAAGAAAAACAGCTAATTTTGCTTTGCACAATGCGGTATAAAATGATAACAATGTACATTTATAAAGCAGCTTTAATGCAAGATTACTGAGAAATCTCAGAGCACTACAAAAAAGTTGAACTGTATTCGATTCTGTGCAATGACAAATTTAAACTGTATGGAATTTATCTTTAATTTTTATAGGTAAAAGTATTTTGGTTTGGGAAATAGACAACTTATTACAGTTGCATTAGTAATGAATGTTTAAAAGTGCTTCTTGGAGGGGAAATGGACAATGTTTTTAAATGTAGCGCAAAGGGAGAAAAGAGTGGAGAAGCCTGAAAGTGATGAACGGCAAATTCCCGAAATAAGAATATCCATAAATCTCAAGAATTGTCATTGTAGTGAAGCTGTGAAGGAAAATGAACTATTATTAATGTAGGCAAGTGAAGAATCTGGTGGTAGTCAGATGTAAATAAAGTTCCATTGGTTCCATATTTGTTTTTCAAAAGACTTTTATGTGTCGTTACGATGACATAAACTGTTTTTTGTTTTTCTGTCAGGTTTATAAGTTTGACAAAAGTCCATGCTTATTCGAGCTAACCAACAAAATTGTGCCTGTTATGCTACATATATAGCTAAATGTCAAAGGAATGTCTACTCTCATAATTTTAAGTAAAAGTGAGCTCAGTTATACCAACTCCACTTTTTCATAAATTCAGAGTCAAACAGATAAAAAAAATTGGTTTGTCAAGCTTCTATTGGTTTCAGTCATAAACTTCTATGGATACGAGTTAATTTATATACCTCTTTAATAACTCAACTGATCTCTGATGGATCATACGAAATTTCACTTAGTTCCAAAGGTCACCTATAGTTATGATGGCAATCTCAGAAGATGGCACTCAAAAGATCTTTTTTCTCCAAGCAACTCTCTCCCTATTTAATTTTCTTCCCACTTCCATTCCATATTAAAGCTGATTAACTATTCCATTACATTGGAAGATGAGTTCCATTCTTTTATGCTTATTAGTGCTGTAATTTTGATCATCAGCGATTAAATTCTTTCCACTTGCTCCCCAGGTTAACATTGCTAAAGCAGACTGCATTTTCCTAATTTGTGACCCAGATTTCACAATCACAGGATTCTACTGCTGAGGTACAATCATAGATTTTACAATGGAAGCATAAGCACAGATGTTACTTCCCTATTGTGAGAACTGCTGAAATAGCAAATGATAAAGCACGTTTGATGACTCAGTGTTATTAGGTGTCACACGAGGGGTCACTTGTATGCAAATATTGTCAATGGTTCTCCATCAATATATACCATCCTGGTAATAAACCCCTGTATAGGATTTGTTTGCCGCTGGAATGAGCATACTAGGTTTAGCTTGTTGTCTGATACACTATCAGATTATTCCAACATCAAAATCTGTACGCACACCCCTACAGTGAATAATCAAACAGCTAGATTTGTAAAATTACCACTGCGCTAGGGCTTTTGCTTTTCCTCAGACAACTGTGATGATTCTATGGCTTTAAGAAGTGTATTTTGTCCTGCTTTTTTTTGAAGAGAGGTTTTAAGTCAGATGCACCAAGATGTCTATTGAACCCCATAAAGTAAACAGCTTGTGAGGCTTGGGTTTTTTTTTTGAAAGTTGGAACAATAGAAGCAGCCAAAGAACCAGGATTTTTAGTTTTACAGTGGTAACAGTTGCTGGGTCTTGAGCTGGGTGGAAACTGCATTACATTTCTTCCTGCTGCTTCTCTCTCTCTCTCTCAAAGTTTTCTCTTGAAATTTTTTTTTCCTGCTGTTGCTAGAGTTGCAATCTGTGTTCTGAACTTGCCTTTTGCCAAGGATATGTTTAAGTGATGTTTCTGTATTGGAACAGTTACTGTTTAGTAGTCAAATAATCTATAATTCTGTTAAGTTTGCCAATAGAGTTAAAATTCCTTATATCTTTTGTTGTATTTTAACCATAACATATGAATAAAGTATGTTTTGATTCAAATCTGATAGGTTGACTAGTCAAATTGCAGGCGGAATGCAATGCTTGGCACTTGCCTTTAAAATAAGAAAAAGTTAGGTTCTAGGTTATCTTATAAATATACTTTAGAGGGGGTTCGGTCTGCTCCACAACACTACACAGTCAGATCTCGGGACTTTTCCAACTGCTGGACACGCAACTACCCCCAGCGACTGATGCTCCAGGAATCTCTTGTGTATGATTGACCAGGTTTTGCTATTGTTGGTCTGAGGCAGCATTTGAAAGTGGACAAGGTGCAATGATGAGAACCTGTAGAGTTTCCACTAAAGAACACGATGTGGCGAGCAGGTTCAGTTTAAAAAACAGATGCTGCTGCTTAGAACTCCAACAGGAGCTTTTAGATATGAATGTGAAAGATTTTGCAACGTCTAGAATCTGTCACTTTGGGTGAAAACCAACTGTTGCAGATATCTTTGGAAGTGTTTCACATTCTGAACAACTTCATTTTACCTGTAAAAGATTCAACATGAGATACTATTTCAATATTTCTATTATTGTCGACAAGATAAGGTTATGATTATTGGGACTTATTCCCGAGTAGCATTAATATGTTCACTGGGGTAACAACAGAGTTAACTGCACCTTCTTCAAAATTAATAACCTTCCATTGCCTGAACCTGGCAAAATGATTTATCTTTCACTGTAGCACTGGGCATGATATTGCTTGAAAAACCACAATTTTAACCTGAGTGGGATTAACAGGTTTTCTGAATGCTAGAAGCTGTGCGTTGTGGCATAAATTCATTACAAACTAACTAAAGAGTGGAGAGTCTCAGTTGCAATAAAATCCTTTCAGCTGCTATCAGAAACTTTTGTTCTGTTCACAGTGATGTCACTGGGGTTTATTTAATTAGTACCGATACACAGTTTTAAAATGCCAAAACCAAAACTACTTCTTGAGCAACACTTAGACCTTAACTTTTTGTCAACCATGCCAGTTCTTCACAACAGTATTGTATAAATCTGCACACAAACCACACATTTGGAAGAAGAAAATATATAACTGGACTGCCAGAGAGAAAGCAGCTTTGTGAAAAATACTGATATTTACCCTGGCATTGCTGAAAGTCTATTACTAGCACTTAATGCAGTCACATAAACAGCTCTGACTTTTGCAAAATATAAATAATCATTTAATGGGGTTTACCCAATTGTCAATCTGTATTGGTTAATGTTTGAAAAAAAAAGGAGCAACTAACAGTAGGGAAGTCTTACTGCAACAGTACAAGGTGTTGGTGAGCCCACATCTAGAGTACTTGTGAGCAGTACTTATTTAAGGAAAGACATTTTTTCATTGGAGGCAGTTCAGAGAAGGTTCACTAGAATGATCGCTAGTACAGAGGGATTGCCATTCGAGCAAAGGCTAAACAGGCTGGGAGTCTAATCACTAGAGTTTAGAAGAATGTGAGGTGATCTCATTGAAACATATACAATTCTTAAATGTCTTGACAGGATAATTGTTAAGAGAATGTTTCCCCTCATGGGACAGTCTAGGACCTGACGGCATAGTTTCAGAATGAAGGGGAGTAAATTTGAGACTCTTAGAGGGTTCTTAATCTTTGGAACTCCCTGCCACACAGAGCTGTGCAGGCAGATCCTTGTGTACGTTTAAAGCTGAGATATATAGATTCCTGATCAGTAGGGAAATCAATGGTTATGGGTAAAGAGCAGGGAATTAGATGTGAGGAATATCGGATCAGCCATGATCCTATTGAGTGGCAGAGCAGGCTGGAGGAGCCAAACAGCCTCCTCCTGTTCCTATTTCTTACAGTCTTATGGCCATTGGATTTTGCCTAATTTGGCTTCAGGTAAAGCTACTGCTTTTAATTTATGTTACTGTGATCGTATATAAAACCTTATGAATGGACATTATTGCAGGATATTAACTGCTTTTAGTGTTTGACCAATTCCATCTTGAATCTTGTATAACACCAATTAATCAGACGTTGCTTATTTTTTTCTAACCTTTGGAATTATCAGAAGTACATAAAATGATTGACAGGAATTTTATAAATATAAACATCTATATATTAGTATAATCAAACAAGGGGGTTAGGTAAGTACTGGATACTGTCAGACCACTTACAAAATCTGAATTCCAAAATTCTATCATGACCTTAAAATGTAATCCTGCATCATTTTTACTTTCTATGAACACAAGGCTTACATAAGTGATCTTTATTTACATTATCATCATCACTTTTTCCTCTCTTTATCTCCTGAAACCATTTGCATAATCCCTGAAGTATGTGAATGAATGTCAAGAGCCTCATTGTTCATGTATGAAACCTTGTGTCTAGATTGTTTGTCAATATAGGACATCACAGTGAAGCCATCCATCACAAAGGATGCTTGGGTAGCAATTAACATTAGGAACCCCATCCAATTTTTCCACTGCGAGGATGGGATCATTACCTTGCCCTGACTGCGTTCACAATTCAGGACATGCTATAGATCAAAGTGAGGGCCTTCCTTGTCTGTACAGCTGAGTATTCACCAAATAAATGTCGTGATCCATTAGAATTCACTCTAATATTTTCATCTGATATTTCCCATGATTTCAGATCAAGGAATACAATTTGATTCAGAAGCTAACCTGTGTCTGGGAAATGATTGAAAGGGAGTAAGATGTGCCAATAGGTGAGTGTCACAGCATGAGAACAGATCACAGCACGTATTTGAGTGTGTTCGTTTTGGTGAGAGTCAAAGAGTGGAGGGTTTACCTTCACTGGATCAAATTGACAATGCCTAATTTAGATGGAATGTACCTGTAGGTATAGGGTCCCTTTTGTTCAACCACAGGTTTAGCTCCAAGATTCATAATTTCTGATGGATTCTTCACATTAAAAAGCCAGAACTGCCTGTAGACAGGGCTTCCAGTTTGTATCCAGTTTTCATATGCAAGGGTGCCTTCTTCAATAACACCTTCCTACCAGTGATTGAAAAGAAACACTTTTATTAATGTAATAATATAAGATACCACAACAACCAGAAATAAACTCTATTAGTTCTGGAACAGTAAACTACTTCATCATAACAGAACTCAACACTGTCAATTCCACAAGGTGTGCCTTTGACTTACTTGAAACTTCGGGGAAAGCTGTAAATTGTGGCACAGCTCAGCTGCAGTGTTGGTGACTCTGGCTGAAGTCATGGCAGATTGGAAAGAGGGGAGCCAATAAATGTTTTATGATTGGACTTCCAGAAGGCATTCAACAAGGTACCTCACACAAGGTTAAGAGCCCATGGTATTCAAGGTAGATTATTGGCTTGGATAGAAAATTCGCTCATGGGTGGGAAACAGCAAGTGTGGGTAAGGGGTTCTTTTTCAGGTTGGTGACCCGTGACCACTGGGGTTCCACAGGGATTAGTGCAGGGACCGCAACTGTTTACAATATACATTAATTATTGGGAGGAAGAAAGCAAATGTGCCATCGCCAAATTTGCAGACATTACAAAAATAGGTGCTCAGGCAAGTTGTGAGAGGGATATAAACAGTTTAGACAGAGTGAGATATTGATAGGTTAAGTAAGTGGGCAAAAAGTTGGCAAATGAGCATAATAAGGGAAAATATGAAGTTGTTCATTTTGGAAGGGAAAACTAAAGAAAAAAGTATTATTTAAATTGAGAAAAACTGAAAAAATCTACAAGACAAAGGGACTTGCAGGCACTTGTACCGGAAAAACACAAGGCTAGCACACGTGTGGCAGATAATCAGGAACGTGAACGGAACATTGGCACTTTTTCCAAGGGGATTAGAGTATAAGAGTAGGGAAGTCTTAGTATAACTATATAAGGTACTGGTGAGACCACATCTGGAGTACTGTGAGCAGGTTTGCTTCCCTGAAGGAAAGATATCATTTCATTGGAGGCAGTTCAGAGAAGGTTCACTAGGATGATTCCTGGTATGAAGGCATTTGCTTATGAACAAAGGCTAAACATGTTGGGACTCTATTCACTGGAGTTTAGAAGAATGAGAGGTGATTTTATTGAAACATATAGAATTCTTAAGGGTCTTGACAAGGTAAATGCTGACAGATGTTTCCCATCATCAGAGGATCTAGAACCAGAGGGTATTGTTTCAGAATAAAGGGTTTACAACTTATGATTGAGACTGTGATAATACTGTGGCTTTAAGAGTGTGTTTTGTCCTGCTTTCAGAGAGATATTGGGGGGCACATGCCGTGCAGGCTATGAGAAGACCAACAACTAATGAAGCCTTGGGTGTTTTTTTTTAATAAATTTGGAATAATAGAAGCAGCCAGAATGGGTGGTGGTCGAGCTCCCACAGAACAAGGGATTTTAGGTTTAGCTTTCAGCAGTTGTTGTTGGGGTCTTGAAGAAGTGAAAGCTATTCTTTCTCTCTCCTGATGACAGCCAAAAGCTGGGGGTTCTCTGCCTGCTACAGAAGTTGTGTGTGAGACAATCTGTGTTCTGAATTTGCCTTTTGCCAAAGGTGTGTTTATGGGATGCTACTATATTGGAACAATTACTGTTTAGTAGAAAATAATCTATTATTCTGTTCAGTTTTCCAATACATCTAAGTTATTCCAAGTTCTTTTTTTTGTTGTATTATAACAATAGTGTTGAATAAATTGTGTTTTTCTTAATGTCGAGTTTGACTGATGAATTACAACTGGAATATAGCATCTCACATTTACCTTCAGATAAAAAAAAGTTAGGGTCTAGGTTACCTTCTTCATGTATTTTCAGGGGTTCTGGTCTGGTCCATAACAGATGAGAAGGTATTTCTTCTCTGGGGATGAAAGCCTTTGGAACTCTGCAGAGAGAGCTGTGGGAGCAGAATCCTTGTGTATGTTCCCATGCCAACAATATTGGTCAGGACTGCTGTAGTGTTTCAGCAAAGCCCAACGCAAGCTGGAAAAATGCAACCTAATCTTCTACTTAAGCACCCTACCGCCCTCAGGATTCACCACTCAGTTTAACAATTTCAGAATGGGAACACCCTCCTCTATGTTCTTCACACTTACCCCATATTTTCCCAATGCTTCCTGCTTTGTATGGGTTGCTCCCAGCACAACCAACCCATTTTCAACCATTTACATTTCTCATTAGCATCCTAACCAGCACTTCTTTCTCTTTCTCAGCTTATCATCACTAATCTCTTTGTTTGCCTCGCCCTTTTTTCTCTCTCCTGCTCTCTGGGCACTATCTCCATGAACTTTATTCACTACCTCCAGCCATACCCCATCATCAACATAAATACCACCTTTTCCCAGCTAACTTAAGTTCTGATGAAGGGGGTCATGGACTCAAAACGTTAACTGTTTTTCTCTCCACACATGCTGCCAGACCTGCTGAGCTTCTCCAGCACTTTGTTTTTGTTTCAGATTTCCAGCATGTGCAGCTCTTCACTTCTAATTTAGTAATACCATTTCCTCCGTATCTGTCTCATGGCTGCTCCTATCCACAACAATGTCAGGGTTTGCATCTCAAATGGAATGAAGGTCTGATTCTTCATGACTCCTGCCATTCTTGCTGTATTCTACATGCGTCATACGCTCCCGTCAGCAGCTACGTATATTTGTGATTGGATTACCAAGATCTTGAGATGCTAAAAAGTTTGCAGGTTTATTTTTCTCCCAAACTACATATTTGAATTTATGTTGCTTCTGAAATCTCTTTTAATTTCAGAAAACCGTCTACAAGCCAGCAGACAGAAAGCAAACATTAATCTATTTTCAAACCCCGATGCCAAAAATGAGGAACCAGTGGTACTAGCCAAGTGCACAACCCATTCGGCATTAGATATTAACATAACAGGAATCTATTAGTATAGAATGCAGCACACTACTACCATCGATATCAGCGTCTTAGTGCTGCAAAAATGTAAATATATAGAAAATATCCAGTACACACCAATAAGATCTTCAAGGATAAATTAACAACATTCTTGAATAAAGTTAGATTTTACCTTATTTATAGTATCTCGGATAATCTTATCCCCAACTGGGATCAGTATACCTCCAATCACTACCAAAACCATACCGATAACAATTCCAATACTCCAGAAAATAGGTCTGTTACTGAACATTATTGCCAGTCAGTTGAAGAACAGACTATGTGCAGCAAACAATCAGTGCAAAAGGACAGCCCAAGAAACAGGGAGTCAGGTAAAAGTCCAGCATGAAATAACATTTGAGATCCAATCAAGAGCGAAGAACGGATAAGGAGACAACAAGGTGCAGGGCTGGATGAACACAGCAGGCCAAGCAGGATCATAGGAGCAGAGATAAGGAGTTTGATTGCTGTCAAGGTCCGCCAAACAAACTTTCTACTTTCATGAAACCACGTTCAAACAACAAAGTTCACATGATAAGAAGAATATGCTGAGGATTGGATGCATACTTAACAGTTTCATAGCAGATGCCTTGCTTTGCTATTTGATCAATACAATTTGTGGCTATTTTCCTCAAGGAGTTAATCCATTTAGAGTAACTTGAAACATTGCAATTAAACAGGGAACAAAGCAATATATCACGAGAAAAAGCTTGTGGATCACCAAACAAGAATATACTCCAAACATGATCTACCATTTTGAGACAAAAATGTTCTGTGCGCTTTTGATCCTGCCATAAGACACAGCTGCGGTCAATATTAGGAATGCAAACTGCATCCCTAAGATGAAATATTAGGAACTGCAGATGCTGGAGAATCTGAGATAACAAGGTGTAGAGCTGGATGAACACAGCAGGCCAAGCAGCATCAGAGGAGCAGAGAGGCTGACGTTTCGGGCCTAGACCCTTCTTCAGAAATGGGGGAGGGGAAGGGGGTTCTGAAATAAATAGGGAGAGAGGGGGGAGGCGGATGGAAGGTGGACAAAGGAGCAGATTGGTGGAGAGGAGATGGAGCCAGAAAAGCTTTCAGCTTTCCTGATGCTGCTTGGCCTGCTGTGTTCATCGGGCTCTACACCTTGTTATCTTCAATCCCTAAGATGCTGTTTTATACCCTCACTATTAATGAGGTGTTGATCTCAATTTATTCTGTCTGCATTTTTTTTTTAAAAATCACATAAAAGGTGTTGCGAAAACCTTTCAATTTAATGTCCAACAGAAGATAGTGAGAATGTTGCAGAATGAAACTGAACTTTAGGCTGCGGCTCCTTGACAGTTCCTTTAATCAAGTAAAAGGATTAGAAACAGAAAATCAGGAGGTTTGTGAGCCCTTTCCGAAGAACAGTCGATCCGTTAATTCTATTTCTCCCTCCGCAGGGGCTCAAAACCTAGTGAACATTTCCAGCCTTTTGTTTCACTGTGCTGCGGACAGTCTTTACTGTCGGACACTTCCGCCCCTCAGAATGGGGTGGACTGTCCTTAGTGACGGACACTTCTGCCCCGCTGGATTGGTCGGACAATTTCTAATGCCGGGCAGTCTTTAGTGTCGGACACTTCCGCCCCGCAGGATGGAGCGGAAGTTGGCAGAATGGCGAGCCCGGCAGGAGTTGGAGAGTCCGCCGGAGGACAGCGGGTTTCGGGGAGGTCGCGGAGTTTTCAGCGCTTTGTTGGCGAAGCTCCGGTTCCCGAAGAATGAGGTAGTGTCCTGGGAGTAGTTTGAGTGGAGCCAGGGGCATTTTTCTCTCTTGTGACACAACCCTGTTTCTTTTTCCTGGGATCTGCGGCCTCAATACTGTGGGCATCCTGAGACCCAGCGCCTGAAGCACCACAGCCTGGAGGGTCTCCAGCTGGTACACGGTCCCAGCACC